TTAAGTCTGTAATAACGTTATAACGTATAGAAAAATATTCAAATATGTGAAAAAAAAATCAATAACACAAATTGATTTCTAATGTCCGTTTTGACGAAGGAAACTATATTCTTAATATAAACTATTGTTTTCAATAGAATGTAATAAAATTGCAATAACAAAAACTTTTTTATTATTTTTGTTATACTAAAAATGTAATTTTCATTTATTGAAGTAAAGTAAATTTTAATTTCTAAATTTATTCGAAATTTATTATTACTTTGTTCAAAAAAAAAAAAATTAGTAAAAAAAAATTCTTTTTTTTAACTGCAGAAAACTATATTTGGCATTTTTCGTTCCAATAGTGTAACCAGAGCAACCAAACTAGCCTATCGTTTTTCATTAATATCCATTAAATCATGGTAAAAATCATATATAGGGTGGAAGTTTATTTCTAAATAAATGGTTATGTAAATACAAAAATGATCAAATAAAAGCTTGATTACTAATTTTTTGTGGCGAGAATAAAATGATCTCGAAGTAAAAATTAAATTAAAAAAGAGATTTTGAATTCCTTAATTTATTCGAAATTTATCGAATAAATTTTACTTTATTATTTCATTTATTATTTAAATTTTAATTTATTTTTAATTATTTTTTAAAAAATTAAACAAACAATAAAAAAATTGGAAACAAATAGTACTGAAATTTAACAATTAAAAAATAACTATAATTAATTAAACTATAAAATTTTTTTTAATTTATTTATCGAACTGTTTATTAAAATGATTATATATTTTTTAATCTACCTGTAGTTCACATCTTGTTAAATAATACACGTCATTCTTCAATATGTAGTATTAATAATATTAACTTATAATCGCAATCCTGATGATGACTCTCAAGGAGTGTCTAAATATAGAGTATAATAAATAATATTAAACGTTGAATTATTTAACAAGAAGGGACCCAGAGCCAGATTAAAAAATTTATAAAAAACCATCACAATTAATTAATTTAAATATTCTACAACTGGCTTATTATTTATTATAGTAAAATTACAAAATCGGGACTTTTAAAGGTTTAAAAAAAAAATATTGATTAAGAAAATCTTTTTTTATACTGTGAATTTAATTTGTTACATACATATATACATATAAAAATTTGTCTCCCTGTATTTCATGAAATAGCATAAGAAGTAATTATAAAAAACATGAATAAAACTTACCGGCACGGCACAAATATTTAATATATGCATAACGCTTAATAAATAATTTATTAAATATTTGTATGGTTGTATGTGAAGGAAGTCTTCTGTGTTGTAGAAGAAAAACATATTTAAAAACAAAACTCAGTTAAATTATTTATTTTTAATAAAACACAATATTTTAAAAACTAACTACAGTATTTATTTTCAAGAACAGAAATTTATTATTCACTTTTAATTTAAAATAATTTATAATTTTAATAAACAAATAGAAATCTTTTCACATATACAGTAATGTAACTAAAAACAATATTTTGTTTATGACCGGCAACAAAAGACTAAATTGAAAATATATTGAGCGACAGCCAAAAAATTCCGTTTTGGTCAATTACCGTTTTGGAAGATGAATTTAATCGACATTGTTGCATTTTTATTTAAACAAAACATTTAAAAATAAGTAGAAATTATTAATTCATCTAATTAGTAATTAATTACTTCATTTTATTGTTGTACTTTGTATAGAGTTCATATTTATATGTTAATATATCAATTTTCTTCTAATTTATTGGAAGAGTTAATTTCTGTTTAATTTATTATGTATAAAAGTAATTTGAAAATAATCAATAATATTTAATGAAAAAGGATTAGTAGGCTGCTCTAGTTGCAGTGGCAAAATTTCCACAAGGGTATAAATTGTAAAAATATATATTTTGAAAGCCCAAAAAAAAAACAATAAAAAATCATTCATTAGTTGTTGCTTCAGACATTATTTTTTTTTTATACTGACAGTAAGTAGACTTACCAATAAAACAACAAAAATATGAATAAACCAAAAGGGATTAAATAGTTGAGATTTTTTTTTAATTTAAATAATTCAATAAAATAATAATTAATATTATTATAAAATAAAAAAATAAAGACGTAGGGTCTTTATAAATAAAATAATATCTCTAATAAAACGAAATAACCATTTTTTAAAAAAACAAATTAATCACAATATGTTATAAGCTATTTTATTGTATCATTTTGAAGACTGTATACAAATTTTTGTACAATTACTTGAAATCAAATTTTAGAGTCAACATTTCCATACAATTCATACAAATATTCTTTCAATCAAACAAAAAATGCAGACTTTGAAAAAAAAATCCAAATCCTTTTTTGGGAACATTTTATGAGTGTTCTCAGTAAAGCTTCATAATCGCACGAATTGTATGTTTGAAGAATTGCGGTCTAATCTTTTAAATAGATTTAATTAGTGCAAATCAAGTGAATTTAAACAATTTATTGCATTCGACCACCGGTATCTTTAGAACGGAACCTGAAAACTATTACAAATGAATTAAAACAGATTTGGAATCCATTCAATTCCGCATTTTTGGATTTATTATGATGATTCCATTTGTTTTGCCCTCATATATAAACAAAATGTTCGAAAATGTAGAAGAATTTCTTTTACAAATGGACTCTATTAGGATGGTTTTGGTTATATTATGATAATTATGAAAATTATATGATAAACCATTAACACGAAACAAAAATTATTCATATTTTTGATACCTCGTCATGTCGAACCAAATGATCTTATCTGTCCATCATTTAATACTGAAAACACTTATAAAGATTTTTTACAGTTTTTTTTTATTATTTAATAGCTCTAACATTTTTCTTCGCTGCTGACGGAGTTTTAATTTCTTTTGTTATATTATTATTGTTATAACAAGGGACAATGGTGTACTGCGATCTATGGAATCTTTTGCACTATTCCTTGAAAGACTCACCTAAAGTAATACGACGATTTTAAATAAAAATATCTCTTGGGTCAAGGTCTCTAACATTAATCAATTCGATGACAGTCGTATGAAGATAGTTTGCTTTTTCTTTTTTTTGATATTCACAGAACTCGTACAGATAAGATAAGAAAAGTTTCAACTTTAATTTCACAGGATCTGTAGGTGTCAGCTACGTTTAGTCGCATCATTGAAAGGTGGTAGAAAACGTAAGCATGTCCAGTTAAGAAATAAGTGTCTAAACAGAGTTTAGTCTGTGAAATCTGTTTTGATTGTTTTGGAATTGACACAAGATTTCTCAAAACTAATTTTTAACGTTTCTAGGTATTGATTCGGAGGAATATATGGGTTCTATTAATGGAGACATTATGCTCTTATTCGCGGAACTGTTTTCCAGGATGTAAATATATATTTGTGTTAAGTTGAGGGTTATTACTCTTATAGTGTACCATAAGAGAGCAACGCAAAACCTATTTACAACATAAAAACAAAAACACATATACAAAAATAACTCTGTTGTCTTGTGTACAACAGGAAACAGTTTTTATGTTAAAAATTAATTTAAATAGATAATGTCAAATAGTAAACTATCTACTGCAAATAAATTATTGAATTCAATATTGAATTGAATAAATTATTGAATTTGCATTTGATGTACCTTCTGCTCAAAAAGTACTCGGATTTTGTAAATAAAATACAAATTTAAATTTTATTCCAAATTTATTTTATCTCCTTCAAAATATGCTCCTTCTAAAGCGATACACATATGCCAACGCTTAACCCAATCTTCCATACACTTTTCGTAGGCTCGTGAAGGTATGGCTTTTAGTTCCTTCAGCCAATTTTTTTTTTCCGATACAATCGACTCAAAACGCTTACCACGAAGAGGCAATTTGAGTTTCGGGAACAGGAAAAAGTCACACGGATCCAGATCTGGCGAATATGGTGCCTGAGCGATGACAGTGGTGCCGTGTTTGGTCAAAAAATCGCGTACAACAAGAATTTTCTATACTAACAATCGCTAAATGCACTTAAGGTAGTTTCACATTAACAGCTATTGTAAACAAACTAATTGACAAATGGTACCAAAAGAAGGGTGTAAATGTCAAGGAAGGGTGTACCAACATAACAAAAAAAAATTTTTTGAAAAGGGTCTATTACTTTAGGAGTAGTTAACAAACAACGACATCCGGATACTTTTTGAGCAAAACTACAAAATGTAATAAACCTTTAGTTCTCCACTTAAACGTTACTAATTAATAACTTTAGTAGAATGTGATTACGGTATTAAAGCTTATAATATTTTGATAATTAATTGATAATTAAGAATTATTTTCATTTAATATTTAATATATATTCATTTAATAGAATTTTTGCGGTATCCATACAGCTGGTTCGATTGTCATCAGTGTTAGAGATCGCTTCCTGACACTTACAGTTCAAAACATTGTGTAATGGCAAATAAAATTAACAAATAAAAATTAAATTTGCAATTGGTTAATGCCTTGATATATAAATATTTTTTAAATTGGTTGATGCAATCCAATCAAGAACTACTTTCTTGGACAAATGATATCAAAACAGGGAAATATTATTGTTAATATTTATATGAGGATATCAATGAACAAATAAATATATAACATTAATTTTTTTTTTTAAATATCATTAAATTTATATAAGATAAGTAGTTCTCCCCTACTTCCATGCCGTAAAGAGTTTGTAAAAAATTGATTTGATGATTTTTTTTATAATATAAGTATTTATTACATATATGTTATATAGAATTTTGATTAAACTAATAATAAAATTTTATATTTAAATTATATATCGTTGATATCTGCTTTTGATGGAAGTTTAAGCTGTGTACATATATATAAAATAATATTTTATACAATAAAATAATTTAATATTAAAAACATACTAATACAGACGTTTCTTTATTAATAAATACCTTAAACGAATACTCTCATAAAATAAAATAATTTATATATAGATTAAAAGTAATGTATTAAAATAATGTAAATTAATTATTTTTAGTATAATTTTAGTATAATTGCATAAACATCACATATATTTGTATGTAATTTCAACACTTCGTAATACACGTTTCCAAAAAGTGTACTCGTATTATCCCCTCGAATTCAATGAAAATTGCTGAAGTCTGTTTTCAGTTTGATAGTAGGTTTCTGCGGCTTTTGTGCTGCACCCGCACTTCGATTATCGTTCACTTTGTTCGCAATGTTTATTGTGTGCTGCTGATTTCGTATGGCTACCTCAAGTTTTTGACGTAACTCCTGTGTCTGTCCCATCAATGTTTTGAATTCCTGTGGATATTTGGGTCCAATTTTCATTAACCACTGTAATGATTGCTCATGTAGCTGCCGTTGATATTTGGGTAGGGTACGCAATTTACTAGGCTCAGCCAAAAAGTTGATGAGCACAGGAACAAGTAGTGTTAGCATTTGAATACCTGAAGAAAACAGTTAAGTTTGTTATTAATTTTAAAATGCTTTTTTTAACATTTGTATGAATTGTTTACAAAGCAGGCATTGTTTTTAAATTATATAGAAAGCGATCAATTAAACAGTTATTCATTCACATATCATCAGATCTATATCAGTTTATGGGTAGATACTTTTTTACTGAATCATAATGACATATGGAGATATTATATATTAATAAGCCAAATTTTAAATTATTTATGCATTTAATCGAAATATACATAATTTGTAACAAATTAAAATCATATGTAGTTACTGTTAATAGTTATAATCGATATTTTTTAAGTGGTACAGAATTTAAAGTTACATAAAAAAAAGCACATATAACATAAACATACCATAAATACATATGACTGGATATGACTCATTTCAGTCAATTTTTGTTATTTGATATATATACATTAATATATAATTTAAGGAAAAAATTGATGAAAAATTATTTCAGAAATATGGCTGTCACATCAGTGTCTAAAGAATTTCCTCCTGGAGAATAAATTTTCTATCACTTTCATAATTAATTGAGATCATGCGCTTAAAATTTAGAGTTTGGAAAGGAAATAGGAATGCTTCTGGAAATTATACTGTCATCATGCTCGCCTAGAAGTAAGGTATGTAACATCATTCCTACGAACGCCATTAATAATGAAATTTCGATTTGCTAAATTCTTTATCTAAAACCTAAAAGGTTTTGGGAATGTTGTGAAATCGTTAAGTTAGATCTCAATAGTTATAACTGTTTTACGACGGAAATAATTTTAGAATTATTTATCGATTAGCCAACTAAGTTAGGCGATTTTGTAAATATCAATTTTTAATCGCTATCACATTAAAAAGAGCGATTCAGAGGGGTTCAGAAGTAATCTTTTTTCATGTAGTAAGATGCATTATACTGTTTATTTCAAATTAAATAGAGTCTAGTGATTGCAATCGATTTTAAACAATGAGTAGGATAAAACAATATGAAAAACTTCGTAATACATTTCACAAATAGTTTAGATTAATTATAATTGTGATCCCAGGACTATTGGAATTGTGTTACCGTATAAAACTCAAAAGTAGGCACGTATTCATGGAAGGAGGTTTGAGGGGCTAAAACTTTTGAAATATATCGTTGTACTACAGTTATATACATATATATTCATTAGCAAGGGGTCATGCTAGTTTATTAGATAATATATATTTTTTTTTTAATTTTATTGAAATGATACTTCTGCCAAAGAATCTATAGTACAAAGAAGTGCCACGCTCATACAAACGAAATACCCACTTTATTTTGCTGGTGGATTTATAATAAATCCTCATGCAACAATGTTCGATCGAGTCACAACTGGTATGATGTTCAGTTCAAACTCATTGCAACCCACAATTGTTTTTATACGCCTGTTTCTTTTGCCTTTCTTGTTTTTATTTGTCTATTTAATTAATATACATGGATTAGTAACGAAGTGAATGGTAAAGAAATCCCTCAAATAATTTTTCGATATACTTTGTTGCTTTATCTTCTTGTACTGGAAAGCCCCGTATTATAGGAGTAAAGAGTAATAGAATATATTATTTTTTTTATTGCAAAAAATGATGCACTACAAAAACCATTATGTATGTACAAATGTGATATTGGAGACATGAAGTCTACAGTATATTAATATGTATGTTTTTATTGCACATTTGTGCATATACATATTTTACCTCAAAAGGAACTACTTCTTAATAGTTTGAATTTTTGGTGACTTTTTGTGATTATTTTAAAAAATGTTTTTAAGATTCATATAAAAGTGTTTTAAAAGTATTTTAAAGAAAATAAAAATATTAGAAAAGTAAGAAAAATTATATTGAAAAAATGTATAGAAGTCACTAAAACCACTAATAATGCTTCCTGGTTTGAGGAAGCGCATAAATGCTATTTACAAAGGATTGAAATGTTAAAATTGGAAAAGTCAGAAAAAGGAAAAAATCAGATTTGAGACATAAATAAACTTGTAATGTGTTTTTACACTACAATTCATAACAATATCAAACAGGTAATTTTGTTTCATATGCTATCAAATTCAAAAACTTATCAAACGTACACAATTTTGACTTCGTCACTGAAATGCTGTTTGATCGTTTGAACATTTTACAGCGAACAAACATACAAACATGCGTATAATATAATACAGAGGGTTGCATGTATGATTGAATACGAATGCAGTCGGGCTTTTGTCAGCCTTACTCGACTCACATATAGGTTTAAAATGGACATCATACCAGTTGTGACTCGATCGAACATTGTTGCATGAGGTTGGGTGGATTTATTATAAATCCACCAGCAAAATAAAGTGGGTATTTCGTTTGTATGAGCGTGGCACTTCTTTGTACTATAGATTCTTTGCTTCTGCTCTACCTGTGTGATAACAATCTTTTTGAGGAATGGTCTCTACAGATTTATTGTCTATTCCTGTAATAGAGTGGAATAATTATATAAAATATGAGTCATTTATAATTGTCACATTGAGAAAAGATCTCGACAGCCACTATTCTTTACTTTCGTATGAAAGTTAACAATATTCATTTTTATTTTTTACGAATAATATATTGTTGTATCTGAGCGTAGTCCTTGAGATAGTAGCTTGGTTCGTTTTTGTGACGAACAGTGAAACTACAATGTAACATTTGAGCTTCATTTTCAATATTACATTGTCAACATTAAAAAGTTTCAACGGAATATAAACACGGTTTTTCTTGAAACTTTAAAGCTAGTATCCTTTTCTGGATGCCTTTGCTTATTAGGAACTGCCATATATGTTAGACGTTTTTTGTGAAGATAAATATTGTGGGATAAATATAGAGTATTCTTATTCTTATTATATGTAAAAGTACAAAATAAAGACTGCCCAACTTTTTGAATAAACATGAACAGTTTATATCATAAATATCTTATAGAATCTAGTATAAGAAAAAAAAAATAATAACTGATGATGATGGTGATGATGATGTGAATGATTAATTATCGTACGCTTGTGGGATAAATTGCTGGTGCGTTTGTTATAAGAGTAAAAAAACTGCAAACAGTAAAATTGAACATGCGGTATTTATATACATTTAACAAACTTAGTGAGAGTGCAGAGATTATATTTAGTTACTATACTTAATTGTAAGAAAACAACACATAAAGCCAACAATAGATTCGTGCCCGCTATGTACTTCAATATACAATAAATTTTAAGACTTATAATACATATATGTATTTAGTATCGAGCAACATTTTTTATTGTTCCTCTTCATATGATAATTACCTTGCAATAAGTTTCCTATTGTTAATTAAATAACGACAAAATTTGGGATGGAATTATTTGTTTTGGGTTGTGTGATTTTGAAATGCATTTAATTGAGAGATAGAGAAAGAAAGTTAATTAATAATTACATAATATTGCTTTGATAAAATTTAGGAGTGGGATTTTAGGCTTTGGACGTAATAAAAAATTAACACACAACACAAGGGAGTGTTTAAATACTTATTTGTAAAAAATTAATAAATAAAATATATATTTAAAAAAACAAGAAAACTCTCAGATAACTTCGACAGACTAGGCTTATTTAAAGAAACGCTAGGCAAGGTTTATTAATTATATGAGAAGATACTTATATATATACTTACGATTTTGCGGCTCCGCCAACTCAATTAAAGTCTGTACTGTTACGATGCTCTCCAAAGTAATTTGCAATTCCATATCTGTGCGTGGTATTTTTGTTGTTTCCATATATAAACCTTCGATGATGCGTGGAGCTAGGGCATGTATATATGGTGTAGAGGTCTTCAGATCAGCTTTTGAAAAAATCGAACGAGCTGTTTGAATGCATTTTAATTTGACTGACAAATTATCAGATTGCATGCATTGTCGAAAATGATTAATACATGGATATTGCAATGAAGGAGCTGATATCAAGAAAGCCGGTGTATGTAATATAAAAACAGCTATAGCAAGTAACATTGTCACTTCATCGACTTTGCGTTCGTCATCATCACCAGCAGTTTTTGTCAAGTCAATTATAGTTGCAAGTGCGCTTTGTAGCAGTTGTTGCCAATCGCTTGATACTGTCTCATTTTTTGCCCAATTATCAATACATACCGATTTAAGTGTGTGCAATGCGGCTTGTACCGCACTTGTATTTGCTAGTATAGTTGAGTCAATCGAAGATTTATTGGCAATCTCTCTTATAATAGATGTTGTCATGAACAGTATAGTTGGTAGAATTGTAAGTGCACCTTGTGGTGAACAGAGTGCTGTAAGTTCCTCAACACATTGTAGACCACTTGCAACTAGCATACCATTATCTTCAGATAGTACTGAAAAGAAAGACTGCGAAGAACTATTTTTTGCTGCTAGTTCTTGCTGAAATTGTATTGTGCTTAATTTGCTGGCAGCACTAGGATTCATAGTTGGTATCTGTCGTACAAAAACGCATAAGCACACTTCTAAAACTGCATACACATGTGAATCGCCAGGCGGAATTTCACCTTTAGTACCACCTTCGCCTAAGTTTTCTATTTCTGTGTTTAGTGAAATATTTTCACTATTATCCGTATTTTTGTGCTGTTCCAGATATACATTCTTTTTTGTTTCCAAGTCTTCTTTTGCGGCTTGTATGGATTGCTTGAGAATTTCCATGCAGAGTAACTGCACCAATAACTCATCTCGCGTTAAAATTTGGCGATGTAAAACATTGCAAAGTTCAATCGTTAAAGCTTTATCTTTGACTAACTGTTGTCGTGCCCAATTCGAATCGAAAATTGTGTATAAAGATTGTAGACAACTTAAAACATTTTTGGGTTTTTCCGAAGTACGTGTACTACATAACGCTTGCATACAAATTCCAAATATCATATGGAAACGATCTGCTGATAGTGAACCATGTGTTATATTATTATTAGCTTCAAAATTTGTCTTATCCGCAACACCATTAGAATTAGCGGAGTTCGTGTTTAAATGTAAAGCAAATCCTTCATCCTTAAGCCATAAGGAAGCTGCATAAAGTATTGGGGGCCATGATGTCAAATAGTGAGGCTTGGAAGAGTTTATGGTATCAGTAGTGTAAAATGCACCTCCATCATGTGGTAACTGACTTTGAAACTCAGCTGGTAATAATAAAAGCGCGTGATCTTTCATAGCTGCCAGCCAATGCGTCGATAAATTGCTTAATTCTGGCTTAACTAAGCTTAACAAACTTTCACCATGACTTTCAAAATCACCGAAATCATCATTCATTAAATCACCATTATCTAAGTCTAAGCCTGTAGTTAACGGCGAAATGCTGTTGGTTGTTGTTAGTTTCTTCTGAAACATAGAAGCCGGTGCTGAACCATTGCCGATCATAGCAACAATGTATACTTCAGCCCAAGCTTTTAAAATGCTTAATTTCTCTAGTGTAGCCATAGATTCGTTGTAAAGTTGTGTGCTGTTGGTTTTCGAGTGTAATTTATCAAGTGATGATACTAACAACTGATGTACGCGTCGTAAATCATTCAAATCTCGTGCTACTCCAGAACCAATCCAAGCTGAGCAAACTTCGCATGCTGCCGCAGTTACATGTGATGGTGTATCTGGTGAAAATGCAGGCCTTAAAGCAGCACCAACCTATAAGAAATATAATATATAACAATATTTAAATATTTTTTTAAGTGATCATTCTGGTTAATTTTATTTCTATGTATACCATTTATTTATTAAATAATAATTAACTGAAATAATGAATATTTTGTTATATAAAATAATACTCCTCTTGCACTCGTCAGTCTAAGCCAGTCTGAGGCACTTAAATTAAGTATTATTTTATATAAAGTAAATTTGTTCAACAAAAACGAATTAAAAGAAAAATTCAGCAAAAAATTTATTATTGGTTATTGATTACTTAATCTCCTCTTTTGGAAATGCCGAAACATTAGACTAGGTAATAGATCTCCTCTTGACAATATAATCGACAGAAAATATACTGCGAAAACACTATAATTATTTTCTAATATAAGCCCCCTAGGTACAATCCTGTTTAGGCCACTGTACTGTTTGTCAGATGAATGGCTGATCAATTTCTAAATATAAACCCCATTATGACTATTGACTTATTTGAACAGTATGACTAGACACCCTGATTAAATATATATATTTTCATATAAATTCGATTGTTGCAGACCTCAGATTTGTTATAATATTTGAACTTATAACAACAACAACAATAACAACAACAAAAAATTTATTAGTAGACGTACTTGTGCTTGGAATTGTTCCAATAATAGATGACCAGGAAATTCCGGTTCAGGCACACCAGCAAATCGATCTATAATTTCCTGTAGTGTACGTAACCCCTCTAAACGTAATTGATCTGAGTCAGAAGTTGCAGCCATGAATGACATACGTATCAATTCTGCTAAATGTAAAATTAAATAATCACCACGAGATTTAATCATTTGCATTTCTTTAGCTTGTATCAAATCAAAATGTATAGGATTTGCTGATTCACAAGTGGAGATAATTTTCCGAACACATTGCGCAGCAAATACACGTGTAGGCCAGCGTGGCTGCACAGCAGGATGTGTTGAAGTATTTTCCTCAGCATGATATTCAGCGACATCATCATCATCCGCATTATCATCATCGTCATTATCATCTTTTGTTGCATTATCTGCTGCATTTGAATTCTTATTAGAAGGATCACTTTTTGTTGTGTTACTTTCATCTTGTATTGCTGCATTTTCCACAGCAACAGTCAAAACATTCTTACAAAGGCTTAACCAAGAGCTAAGGTTATCTGATGCTAACATTTGTAACATGGAAGTAAGCGTATCGTGTATATTTTTCAACATTTCAGCATCAGTTTCTGAATCTAGCATAGCGAATAATAAACCAGGAAGCCCAAACTCGGTGATGACAAGATCCGGATACTGTTCTGGTGTAATTGAAAGTGCTAATTCACATATTTCTTTAGCTTCTCGATGTGATAACTGTCGAGCCATACGTACAGCAGCTTTGCGTAACATAAGATAATTACTTGATAATGTATTAACTAGTGTAGGCACTAGAGTTGATAGGTTCACGGTTTTCGGAGCAAACAGATGCAATTGCTGTAGACAACCGGTAGCTTCAGCCTGCACAAGTGGATCGGAGTGTGCTTGCATTATCGAAGCCGCGCACAAGAATGAAGACCGCATAGCACAAACAGCGACTGCATTACCCTGAATATAATATCATGATTAATGTTAATGTAAATAGAAAAAAATTATATTCTACTTACTTGTAATTCTGGACCAACAGTTGTAATTAATGCATTCAGCAAACGTCCAACACACTGGTGTACATCAACATTAGAGTGTGGTACCGCAAGTAAAAGTTTCAAACTTAACGATAGAGTAGCTTCTACATAATTACGGAACATCGGCCCACCGGAATCGGCTATAAGCGATAGAGCATACAACGACCAAACCTGCACAACTGGTGATGAGGTGTCTTGTGCTAGTGCCAACAGTATAGATACACTTGTATTTAAATGCTGTGAAGACCCCATGCCACCAACGTAACGATGCAAACATCCTAAAGCCAAAGAATGACCTGTACGCGTTATAACATCTCTGGCAGATTTTAGTTTATCAAATGAATTTTGTGCCAATTCAGCCGTAAATCGAGAATCGCCTACGACTTGTGCCATACGTCCAAGTGCTTCGCCAGCTGCACAACGTAGTGTAGCATTTGAGCTGACCAATGCAGCAACAATCAAATTAGTTGCACTTTTCTTAACGTTTTCTTCACCAATGCCTGATTTACTATCGGTTAAACCTTTTAGACCGCTTAGGAGCGCAGTGAATATATTCATTTGCACAGCTTCTTGGCGGCTGCTTTTAGCTTGTCGAATGCACTCACCAAAATGTTCCAACATCTGTAAACGGTGTTTGTTGGCGACTTTTGGAAAGATTAGGCCGAATAACGAAACCGACATATCAATAACTGCCACACCTAAAGGCAGTGGACCAGGACATTGCTCTATTTTATTACTCGCATTTAGGGCATTGCTAATGGCTGCTGCGCTCATAACACCAACTGTTGGAGGACGATACAAGCAACAAGGATCATGTTCTAAAGCACCCGACCCAGCGGCGCTATTTGGTTGCAACTGCAATTTTACAGCAAACAATATATGCATTATTATATGTGTAGAATGATATCAAAAAATGTAATTCATATGTATGTATAAATAAAGTACAAAGTAAAAGGAAACCATTATGCATTTTATAAAGCTGTACAACAAATCGATAATCTTATATTATTAAGCTTTAAAAATTCAAGCAAATGAGAGAAAATAAAAGAAAAATTTTTAATATAAGAAAGGATAACATACATGCACGTACGAATTCAACGAAAAACTTATAAAAATCCTTGGCTCAACGCCAAATAGTGTAGAGCTTAGAAGTAGCAAACTAAATGCTCTTTAAGTGAAACCATAAAAACACAAGAAATACAGCGAAATAAAATTTTAGTTCACAGAAAACACAAACAACACTTACATGCTCCCCATCTGATTTACGATTTGGCTCCATCTTGTTTGGTTTAATTTGTTCATTTTCATTTTCATTTTTAGTATTATTTTGTTTTTTTTTTGTTTTTGTTTATTTTGATATCAAATTGTACAAAATGCAATACCCAAAATTATTTGATTTGTTAAGGCGGTCAACGTAGAGGAGAATTTATTTTATATGCAATAAGGAAAAATTCAAAAATACATAAAAAGAAATAATGTTAGTATGTAATGTCGATTATCCTTGGCATTTGGATTATAAATAATTTACAACTTTCTTAATGCTAGGAAGATGCACATGTCCGCTTTACAGACATGTATATATGTATATACATATATATATACAAGTGGTTAAATCTCTTGGTAACGAATTAATATTTACTATATAGTTAAATCACTATTAAGTATATATATACTAAATGTATATAAATATATTACTATCATTATCATCATCGAGTTTCACAGCTCACTGTGGAATTAAGTTTAATCATAATTATATCACGCATCATTGTTTGGATTGTTTAAAATGCATCATAATTATTATAACATCGAATGCTATAACAACATTCTTATGCTCTAATAATATACCATAATATACCAATATTGAATTAGGTTTAATAATAGTGTTATATTTAAATACCTAAATAAAAATATTAATTAGAGATTTATCGACAGGGAAAAATAAATTTGATAAAATTTATATATGTTAATTTATTACATATGGAATAACTAATGCCTAGTTTTTACAATGTTATTTTTTTTTAAATAGTTATACATTTATTTATTGTATCTTGTCTTAGAATGAGACTAACAATAAGTTTTAAAATCATATCACTAATTACTTAATATTACAATTTTTTATTTTAACCATACATTGTATAAAATAAAATAAGTAAACCTTATATCACGAACCTCACTTAGAACAATGGGTTAAATTTCATTGGAGTGAATGTTATGTGGTTTATTAAAAAAGCAATTAAACTTTATTAGATTAATAAAAAGAAAGTTTCGGTTTTCTTCAAGCTATTGAATATTAATTGATGGCTGGACGGTGAGCTGTTTTTAGGTAGGAAATAATGCGAGGTTTTCAAATATAAATTATTTTGATGTCTAAACCAAACACTTTACTACTAATAAAGATATTTTAATAGTGAATTATAAAGAAATAAACAAAAAGAAAAAACTAGTTTGTCAGAACTACAATTTGCTTAGTAACTTACTTAAGGCTTTTAAACGGAACAATTAAAAAAAAGAAACAGTGTATTACTCCTGGTGTGATATATATAGAGTTACGAACGAGGTTTTTAAAGCATCCTGCTTTATTCAAATTTAGAGTTTTGTCAATTTTTTTGTTTATTCATAAAAACAAGTATAGTTCACTATACAATTTCAAAGAGTTATTATAATAATTATAAATGAGAGAATGAAGTGTAAAATTAACAGTAGTGAATTGCAACAACAAAATTTTATTATTTTTAATTAAATGATTATTTGGCTAGCTATTTGCCTTCAAATCAGATCATACATCTGTCAGCAAAAAATTTAATTAATTACAAATAATAAAATCTTGTTCCAATTCACTATTGTTTAAAAACCCTCTCTAAAAATTAAATTATGTTAATATATAAAAATTTTTTTTTTCAATTTTTAGTACAAGGTGCCTTTTAAAATAAACTGGACTGGCCTATTTAATGTATTTAAAATAAACTCTCTTTTCAAATGTGTGTTTTATAACGTCAGTGGAGATGTTCTCAGGACATCAGATCCTGACACTTTTATATCGCTTCTACGTCCACAAACAGTTGCTTTTCAGTCAGTGGAAATATTTTTCAGAAAAAGTCAATGTTGTACCGTATTAAACTAGGTAAATCTAAGGAGTGATTGACTTTACTGGCGTATGTGATTACCAATAGATGGCCAGTTTTAAAAAGTACTATTTACTTTTTATATATAAATATATATTTCTATTCTTATTTTTAAAATTTTAATTTGCAATTAATTTGTTTTTTTTCTGTAAAAAAAAACAAATTAATGAATATAAATATTTGTAATAAGATTTATAAACAACAAATTAAAACTTGTACCCGGGACATATAGCCTAGGTAAATAGTGTTAATAAAAATAATTGAATATGTAAGTTCATATATATTTGGATAACTATATATTAAAATATTTTTAAAAAATATTGTTAATGAAATATTATAAAGATAGAGCATATATAATGAATATGCTATGGTGAATTATGATCTAATATACTATATAGTATATTCTATAATAGTTTAAATATTAATTCGTTTCAGAAAACATTTTAAAAATATAATAATATAAATATTAGTTGGTTGTAGAAAACTAATAAAGTTGTATATACATATATATTATATATATTGATATGATACTTCACAACATTTAAAATAAAAGTACAGTATCGGAAAAAACATATTTAATTAAATTTTAAGTAATACCAAATTTCATATAATTATGAAATTATCATTAAACCTTAACCTCTCTGAGTCAATGGCTCTTCGTAAAATTGAATAGATTATATATATCATTAACAAGTTAACAAATCTACTGAATTATAAATGGAGTGCTTAGGTGTTTAAATCTGATTTCATTTCATCTGTGACAATAATATAACAGTTATGCAAGTCTCTCCACCTTCAATAGAGCAAGAAGCAGATCTATTAGGGTTGTGTAATTATTTCAAAAAAAATCCAAAAAAACTAAATCATAAGGGCCATGTTATGTAGAGTGACACAGAAATTGTAATAATTTACTTCTAAAAGACACAAATCTTGACAATTATTACTAAATAATACTGCTTTGTTTAAGTGACGAGGCACAGATAGCCTCGCATTGTAGCATTGATGAAATAAAAAGAACATGTATAGATGTAAGGTTTCACTCCTACAGAATTATTTTTGTTTATTTTAGATGTATTTTTCCAAATAATAAAAACAAGAATTATAGGTATTCTATATTTCTGGAGACATATTTTTTTTAAAAAGGTGTTTATCACAATCGTTGTAGGGGAATATAATAAATTGTTTCGAATCAGTTTAAATATTATTTGAATCTGAAGAAAAAATTAATGTACACTTGTAATACGCGAAATTTAAAAATACATCACTTAATAAAAAAAAATTTAATAGACAGATTCCATTTATTTATACAGATAATCATTTTTTAACACACTGTGACTGTTAAAATATTTATGAGGAGTGAAAATGTGAGCATGCTCGGGCCATTTCAAATAAAGAAAAGAACAAAAAATATGTTTTTTTTTTGTGATTGTAATTCCTAACCAATGATAAAAAATTATTTATATATTTTTTTTAAACTTAATATTTAATTAACATTTAAAAAAAATGTAAAAATGCAGTGCAATTGTTTTGTCCGATACTGTGCCAATTAAGGACATTTTGTTATTGAGACTATAAGTGGAAATATTACAATTTTTCTTTCCCTCTTCCGTATATAAACTTAACATGCAAGTCAGTAAAATAAACGATATTTATACCTGATCTTCAATAGTACGATGATCGGTTTCTTGTAACCAAGTTCCTAAAATAATTGAATCATCGCCGTGGCATAAGGCACGCAACAAGGAGTTGGTTGTATTTGCAGCATTTTCCGCCAGCGTAAATTCCGATACAAGCATACGTAATAAATGTGTATAGGATGACTCCAAAGCATTTGGTGGCAATAATGTAAGCGTTTCATAAAGTCTTAAACGTACCATTGCAGCTGGTGCTTTAAGTTGTGTGCCATAAGTTTTTAACACAGCAGATAAGCTATAAATATAATTGGACAGTGGTTTAAAAGAGATTATTGTAAATTATAAATAAAGTTACTTGACTAGCATTGCTAACGCACTCTCGATCGGAGTTAATAGTCTTCGTGTTATATCTTCAGTTAATAAGTCCGGACAGTTTAACAGAAAGCTATGCATAACTGATAAAGCTCCAGCACGCCCTTCCAGTGTAACTTGCCAGGTAAACGCATCGCCACGTGCTTTTTCCGACTCCAATTCTTTATTTGAGCGTGGAAATGAATTACGCCATAGCAATACCATTCGCGGTAGAAGACCTTTCACTACTGATGAACCAAGTGTCATTATAGCGCCTATAAGCAGCCAACCAGCTTGAGTTCTATTTAATGACATGCGACTATTTTGGGAAGCTGAACGTAGTAACTCTTCAGCTGTATTGAATACTACTTTGCCTTTGGTATGTGGTATGCCAAGTGGTGAGTAACGTACACTACCCAAAATGGCCGCTAATGCACAACTGTAACCGGCTATAGCTTCTGGTGATGACCGCATATGCTCAATGGCTTCAACAAAACGATCTATTAGAGGCGTTATTTGACTTGGCACGGCTACACAAAAGCAACGTAAACACCAGGCTGCTGCTAAACGTGCTGCGGCACAAGGATGCACCAATACAGCACAGGTAGCATCAATGGAATTTAATGTATTATCATTTAGTAAATTTTGAGCAGTTGTGCCTAAGCCTAATACTAATGAACCAAGTTCTTGCAATGCACACACCAATAAATGCTGACTAAATAGCGTTTCTTGATTGGAATCCTTAGCATTTTCTGGATTAAAATCAATGGAATTCATTTGTTTTGCCACAATATGTATGAGTTCTTTACAGGCTGATGTTTGTGCTTTTTCTCCCAACATTTTACCAATTATGGAACGTAATATAAAATTAATACACTTGCGTGAGTAGACGGCATCGACATGTGAAGAAGCCGCTTTTGGATTTGCTACTAAATCTAAAACGTGCACTAGAAATGTGCTAAGGTTACGTTCCAACCAAACACTACCCATAAATTGCACAAACACTACATAGGAATGTGTAACGCCAACACGTACTTCACGATTAACGCCGGAACTGCCTTTAATAATTTCGCCAGTACCCTTAAGGAATGATACTCCACCTCTCAGAAAACCTGACATTAAAATGCCTAATGCTTCATCCAATGAAACATTGCGCGGCATATTTTTACCGTGTACAACCTGTGCTACAGGTTTTCTATTCAGTGCTTCATTAGGTTGTTGAGTGAAGGCTAACAAAGTACCAAGCAGCTTAGCTACAGCACAACGTACTTCATAGTTACTTCCATCGAAAGCTCGGAAACACAGCGTAGCTAAACTCTCCAGTTCGGTTTGATAAAGAAAGGATGCATGATTGATCATTTCAAGCATACATTTTGCTGCTGCTACGCGAACGGCCATTACACGATCTGTAAGGCAATGTTTTGTGGATTTATATACATCTTTATGGACATTAGATATAGCGGTGCCCATGCCAGCGCACACCTTTAAGTAAGATGATATATAAAATGATATATATTTTACAGTTTCAAATTTAAAAAGTAAAAGTAAATACAAACCTTTTCCAATGTGACCATAATTTCAATACGGGTTTGTGATTCTGCATTGCGTAGCGTGCGTATGAGTATCTGAACTGTTTCTTCATATGAACGACCCATCATACGCCCAAGCTTTTCATACATAGAACCAAGTACGCAAATAGCAGCACTATTTGAAAAAAATATATATATCATATGGTATATAAATAAATTTTTATTACAATTATTTGTTTAAATAAATTTCATACTTACAGCTTTGTGGGCAGATAGCTTGGTGAGTCATCTTTGTTTTTTAGAATATCATTGCAGGCATTTACTGTATCAAACAGCATAAATGTGTCTCCGACCGAGAATAGCGTGGCTAGACAACTTGCTATAAGTTTTCGGGTTGGTGGTCCCGGTGAACCTTGTATTTGCTCCGTCAACTGTTGTACCAATTTCTTTTGGCATCCTTTGATTTCAGATTTATGTGCTGTGGGTAATATTTTCTCCAAATAACGCAACCATTCAAAAATAAAAACTGGTTTTTTTGGCTCTGGCAGCTGTTTTAAAGCTTCCTCATTCAAAGTCAAACTGTGAGACAGTTCCATTTCATCTACGTATACTTCGTCACAGCACTCGCCTTCACTACGCTCGTCTACAATATTAGCTTCTTGATCTTCGCTACGTATAAATGATCTGAAATATTTATTAATTTAATGATTACGAATGTACATGTGAATGTCTTTTAAAGTAATTTTAGTACGACTGTATATAAATTTTTAAATAAGTTTGGAAGTATGTGTATACCGGCATATATGGCAGTCAACATGAGTGTACAAAGTAGCAGTTTCGCTTCATACAATCGACGAACTTGTATCTTGAAGCCGATTTTGCAATTGCAAGGTTATCACTCTAGCGAATTGCCAACACTTTAGAGATGAAATAATGAAATAAATGACGACATATCTCAAAGAATTTATTTATTTACTAAATATGTTTATAGGCGAATACTGTAAATAGGTTTTTCACTTAAAAATGTTAAGTAAAGATCAAGCTAATTTACTTATGCGCACTATTTGTTTACCAATAAATATTCTTCACCTCATATATACAAGTATCTATATTTAAAATAGGTTAATTTTCAGTACTATACAGTCAAATTAATAAAGGATTTTAAGACTTTCATAGCACACAGAGCTGGACATTTTAAATTAGATCTAACCAGAAAATTGTATTTCAGTTCAGAATAAATTCGCTATGTTTTCGATTCGTACTAATACCGAATCCAACAAATCATTTGTTCCTTTAAATAGGTATTTAATATAAATTGTAGTTGACAGACTTATTCAGTAACTGGGTAACTCGGTAAAGTGAAAAAGTTTTAAGTATGAAATCAAAACTTTACCGAGTTAATGAATTATCAAAATATTATGTCTGTTAATTTTATCGGTATTCAGTAAAACATCAGTTTATTCTTATCACTGTGCAATGTTGCACAATATTTAAATTTAATTTTATATTTGAACTGTTTAAAAAATATAAATAAATTTTACTTTAATTTTATTAAAGTATTATTATTATTATAAATTAATTTCATTTTTTTATATTTTTTAGAAACAAAATCACCTGTTTTAGTAATTCGTATTTTACAATATTACCGAGAAATAACATACACACGTAATAATTTATCCATTTTATGTATAATGGATTACCACGTTACAAAGTTACGTCCGAATACATCTATATTATTTTTTGTTTTGTAATTTATAAATTATTACTTAACCCTAACACCAACTCATCCAATATCAAACAAATATTTACTGGTACAAATCATAGTGCCCATTCCTGCAGAATACAAGATACACATACATAAATGTCTATGTCAACTCTCAGAAATAAATCTTTCTAAAAATACAACAACAGTAAGTTCTTTATTTTCATTGTAAGATCTAAGGTGTTCGAATAATCTTCCTTAAGTTTCAGATTTTATAAAAGAAATCCAACCCAGCAATCTGTATGTCATTTAATGAACTCACCATTATCTTTCTTATAAAATAGTTTAAAAACCAATGAATGATCTCGTAAAGGTCACACTATATTTGAATACGGATACATGAGAATAATAATATAATTTTTTTATTGATAGAATGTAGAACTCTTGTCTTTGATTTTTAAAATTTAAAGGAATTTTCAAATTTAATATTTGTCCTGTGTTTTTCAAAACATTCATTGTTAGTAAAAATAATGTGACGACTATTAAAATGGAAGCACGCTCGTATAGTCTTTTTGACTCGTGATTATACCGGTTGTTTCAAACTTCATCCTTTATTCTATACTCTTAAAGTTCTATAGTTAAGTTTTCACATAAAGTTTTTTAGTTTATTTGTATTTGCTTTACTGAGCGTATAGATTTTTACTTGCGTACGTATACCTATATATCTTGATTTCTAACTCCGTTTAATAGCGGAACTTGCTTGTAGATTTATATCCTAAATCGATTTTTCGGATACTATTGGTTTTTAAGCTGATAACGATAATGTTAAACCCGAGCAATTGAAAGTTTTTAAATATGTACTTTAAAAATGTATTCTAATTTTTTATAAATTAAAATAAGAATATTTCTGTTTTTTATTGATTTATTTATAGGTCCATTGATTTAGAACTTTTTAGATGTTAACTAAATTTCTACGATTTCAAATCTTCTGTTCATAAGTAACGACTCAGTTTTTTGGACATCAATGCAAATCAAAGCTTCGTATAGTCATTATTTATTTAAAACATGTTTTATATACTGCTTTTGTTACTGTTTTTTCTAATAGTTGATGTTATATAAATGATAGCTTCCAAGTATTTAATGGCAAAATGAGTCTATTTAATAATATTCAAAACTTAGTATATCTATAGCGTTCTCTTATATATCATATACTGGTTATTTCCTGTTCGAAAGGCATTACATTATCTTAATTAATTGAATTTTTGGCTGACCATACAGCTGTTTCGAGTATTGCCAAATACCCATCATCAGTGGTCTTGGAAATAATTCTTGTATTTAATTATTCATAAATAATTATTTTTTGAGACTGCAAGTACCAGGATTCGAACTCGGGTCCTGCCAAATGTGAAGCTCAGAATCAGCACACCTTCCCCAACTGTCCCAAAGCCCTACTTGACTTTTTATGTTCGCATATTTTTCTGGAGTTTTGTTACTTTTGCTATGAAAGTTTTTTTATTACTTTGTTTATATTAGAACGAAATCATAAACAAGCTGTAAAATAATTGAATTAATTAATTAATTACATTTTTATTTTTTTAATTGTTTAATTTCAATACTATTCTTTTCGTTAATTTATTATTTAATAAATATTTTATATATTTTTGCTAAAGTTAATGAATGTTAAGTCATATTAAAAATATATAGATGTAAGTAATTTATTAATGAATAAATTTAATTTATTGTGCTTATAACACAAACCATAATAACTCCACTTTATTGAGGTGATAAATAACTAAAAACTTGAGTATATCAATTATCTTTCACTTATGATAGGATGAGCATGTTCATGCATAATTAGATGCCCTTAAGAGTCAAATCATGTCAGTCAATGATGCAAACTGCCTGTGAAATCGGCACATATTCACGCTCTTATTTATTATTTTGTGTCACGATTAAGGATGTAAGTGCTTTCAACAACCAACTTAGTGACGTTTCACAAGACACGTGTTCTTGCACTCTTCAGTTTTACTTAAAATAGGGTAAAGTGCAATGTAGAGCATATAAATGAATAAAGGGAAGTATTAATAGGTCGTATTAGGCTTTAGACGGAAACTAGAATTATGAGATTATTTTTTATATAAAAATTTTTGTTTTTTTTAGCAGTGCACAATAGAATAAAAGTTGATAAACAGATGAGATTATTTTTTCTATCAAAATTTTTGTTTTTTTTAGCAGTGTACAATAGAATAAAAGTTGATTAACAGATTAAAAGGAAAAGTAAAAGATTAATTTTTTAAACCAAGAATTTTTTCTGTTAAGCTGATTAATAGTGTATATCCTGTATGAAATGTATATGACTTTGAAATTGTCCTTCACTCAGTGGCAACACATTGGTATGGCTTAATGTCTTATCTTACTCCCAATAGTTTACAGAGTCAATTTATTGGAATCGTTCACCAACTTTTTTTGTTTATTTATATAATTCTTAATGTATTAATGTAAATTAACAGTCAAATTTATTTTTAAAACTTTTTTGCTGATTAACATACAATTATAAAATATACATTTCATTTTTATTATATATTGAAGTCACATGTATACTTTGTACATAAATAAAAATAAAAATATAAAGTTTAATATCTCTAAGAATGGTAAACCGAGTAAAACAGCCACCACTAAATATGCAGTTAAAGTTCAGCTCAAGACACTATTTAATAATAGTGTCTTCGTTAGATAAAGATGTGGATCTCTGGCCAAGTAAAAATAGTGAGAAGGAATGAGAACTTCAGTAGAAGCACTTCGACATAATTGATTTAAAGGGTGGTCGATTTTGCTCACTAAGAGTAATAAGCGAACAAGAAGTCGTATTATTTATGTAAATTTACCTACACAATATATTTTCACAAAACAACAGAAGTTTGGATTACTTTTATTTTAATCAAGCATAGGTTGTCACCACCTAATTCAAAATGATAATTGTAATACTATTTTGAGGAGTTTTAGGTCAAACCCTTTCTATGTAATATTAATTTTTCCAATTATACAAAAAAGCCACTACTATAAAAAATTAAAACTATTGACTTTTACGTTAAACAAATTTTTTAAAGACAATAGATAATATTATAAAAACTCTGCAGGATATTCCCTTTATGGAATTCATCCACGTTTCTAAAGTAATTTTGTGAAGTTAGGATTGACTGAAACGTGTTAAATAATAATAAAAAAGGAATTTAAAAAATTTAATTAGAACAGCAAGTCTTCCTCAATTGGAAAACAAAGGCAAAGTAGGAATACGAAAATATATAAAATTTTAATCTGCCGCAAGAAGAAAATTTTGATATTAAATCTTTTTCAAGTCGAATCTATCTGATGTTTGTTCGACTAAAAATATTTCTACTATAAATGACAAGCTGTGTTCTACCAATAAATTGTTCCAGAAAGCAAAATAAGGATCTTTATATTTTTGACCACATGTGCTATACGACCCTCTGTGTTATAGCGATTTTCATATGTGGCATAGGTTCGTCGTTGTAGTCCTAAGTGAAGTAAAGTTAAGAATATTAATCAAATTTTGCAGAAAATCATATAGAATGTCTACAATAAAAGATCTTTGTGTTTCATATTGAAGTTAAATCTAGCATACGTCACTAGAAATATGATTATTTACATAAGATACCTATAAGGATTATAAGAAGGGTTCCACTTGTATATTGCGTTTCTATTTATTATATTCTGTCCTTGTGATCTGTCTCACGGCAGTTTTACAGTAAATTATCACAATTATTCTTTGCCATCTTAGCTAAAAAAAAATTATTCAAAGCAATTCAACTGCACTTAACGCCTTAATTGCCTCCTGCATTACATCACACAATGCGTTCATTTTCTTTTGTCTTTTTACTCGCTAATGCAGATATTGACCAAGGAAACAAAAGGCAAGCGTGGGGTAAACTTTTAAGCACAACCCTAGGCAATACGAAAAGGATTCTAAAATTATGTAGGTGGTAAGATTTTTGGTGCGATTACATAATTTTATTATAAAAAACGCCTTTGAATTGAGCATTGTTTGCAGAAATTTGAAATACACTGATTCACAGATTTATACTATATATTTAAGTCATATACGTATATATTATTTACTAATTTATTCCTTTTATTTTTTTTATTTTCCAAAAATAATATTTTTACTATATATTTAATATGTATATTCACTATATCATAAATAGAATATTGGAGTTTGTGCAGTTGTTTGTAATACGGCGAATGCGTCATCGGGAAGCCCATTAACTATATATGTATATTCTTATTCATATAAAAATATGATTATCTGAGAGAGTCATTGCTACTATACACAAAACGTTGAATAAAGTAATATATTCCAAATATTTAGCAACAGTGACTATCACCACATCTATTTAATGTCTTTTTGTATTGCTATAATGATTATTTTAAATATTTTGAAATATATCGCATACCTACTAAGGTATGCTTAACTACTGCTTAAACTTTACTGAAAAATATGATTTTTTTCATTTTAGGAACTAGTAATTTAGCTAGTCGAGGAATGAGTATAGAATGTATAGTATCTGACAGCATTCAAAGTGGCAAATGTCAGCGGTTAACCAACAGCACCACTTAATTGTCAATGATTTTTTCAGCTGTATTGAGCGACTTAAGAATAATATGGCGAGAGACACAGATGATCTGCTAAAAAGTTCACAGCAGTCGGAGATATATTGAGGGAAGATTTCACCGGCGCATCTAAAAAAAATAGTAGACGAAACTGCGCTCAGCAATTGAAAATTTTAAATGGTCTGTACTGTTTAGAATGCGTTTAACTTGAGTGTTTGATAGAAACACTTAGGTTATTACGATTTTAGACCAAATCGTTCCACTGCTGACCAAATATTTACAATGCCCTAAAAAATCCTTGATAGGGTCATTTACGGCCAAGATTTTTTTCTCGATTATAAAGCTAATACGCTTCTGCAGAATGATGTGAAGAAGTATCCGTAGGATAAAAATTAAAACTTTAGATAGCGTGGAAAGTTTTAGAGAAGGTAGGACCTTACTTTATTATATCTTTAATTATGTGATTTATGATAGTATAATATTTTTTTTCATAGTTTACATATTATATAGAAAAGGAATGTAACGTTAAATGAGTGCAAATTGAAATGAGTATATGAGGATTTTATGTTATCCATCTTGTTATCTTAATAATTCAATGATAATGGAGATCAGACGAATAATTACCATTTCCAATGGGTACTACTATAGACTCAGTAAGCAACTGGAATCCCGACTGACAACATCTACACTTAATAGGTTATATTTGATATCTATGCTTTTATATAGTAAAGAAAGAAATATAAAGAAAATATAGTACAAAATAGTGAAGCAACATTGCGAGTGTGGAAAAGAAAAGATCTTTGGTTTTCTATGAATTGTGACTACAAACGCATTCGTATAAACCACAATATGTAAGAGTTTTACCACAACTTTAAGTCATTAAGCGGGTTAACATTCAACGGTTTTGCTACTTTGGTTATGTCATGAGGATTAAAGATAAAGGCAAAGTGAAAGAAGATTTCTAATGCGAGAAAGAAGACATTCTGTAAGTAATTCCGTAAGTGCTTATATGTATACAACATCTATTTAAATGGATAGTGCAACTGCTATTTGCATTTGGATATTTGATACTGATAAGTTGCAAATAAACTCTTTAATATTAAGGTTGTGTAAAGTTAATATTAATATTGAACATAACTATTTTTGTGAAGGGTATATCAATAAGAAAAAAATTTCAGTTTCAGAAGATTTAATGACTTTAATTAAAGATGCTGTGAGTTTTTTTTACAGATAAGGCGAACTGTTAAAATTAAAGAATTTTCTTTTTTCAAATGTTGTGTTGTGACTTGGTATCAGGTTGTGATATGTTTAATATAACTTGCGAAGAAATAAAATACAAAATATGCTTATTTTTTTATAAATAAAATTGTTAATAAATAAGGTAAGTTCTAAGATGGATGAATAAAATATTCTGTTCGGAAAGTAATTTTGTTTTTTCCTGACAGAGGATGTAATTGTATTTACTTTTTTTGCCAGCAAAGACAAAAAATTTTATGAGCGTGGAATTCTGCTACTACCAGTAAGATGACAAAAGGTATTGGACCAGAACGGCCAATATATAATTTAATAAGGAATTCGTTTATTATACGAAAACTGTCTTTTATTTCCACAAAAAAAAAAAACGAAACTACTTACCGAACAATCTAATATTTATTAGTAATTTTCTAATTGATGTAATGGGTTAGAAAATAAATATATATTAACTCTTAAAAGTGATTTATTGAAATATGTTGAAGTCAAGTAAGTAAAATATTGTATTATAAAAAATCTAAAATACCAATTATGATACTCATAAAAGCTTTGATTAAAGAACATTATTATACTCATTAGTATGAGATACTCCTTACAACTTGGTTTTAACGAGTATCATAATTATGTAAAGAATTTAATATGTAAACAATTTAATTTTTGATATCGTTGTTTCACAATCATTTTAATTTAAATTTTAATTTAATTTAAATAATTAAACTGAATAAGTCATGAGGTATTACATTAGGAAATATACTTAAGTTTGTTGGTAGTTATAATTTTTTTAAATATACTAAGATTTTTTCTAGGAATCACTGAATATGTTTCAAAGGTTATTAATAATAATACCGGTAAGCAATGGTATTATTTGTATATCAACTTTTAATAAGTAATTGTATTTTATTTTTAATACAATCATATATATTATATTAAAGTTCAAGTTTACATATTGCAATTATTTTCGAGAAATTCGTTATATAAATTTTTACCTTCTAGCCTCTGAAATGACTTTCCGCAGAAATTGCGGTGTTCGTGAAAAATTTAGGTTTTCCATGTTAACATCAATTTACAGAAAATTTTCAAGTTTAAATTTAAATAAATTACACATAATTTATTCACACATTTTGCAAATTGTAAAAAAGAGAAAAACTGAAACTGAAACCGAAACCGAAACCGAAAAGAAAATTGTGTGTTGTGCAGTGAACACTTTTCCACATTTGCCTGCTTTTTGCAATGTTTTTCTTTTGTAAAGAAATCAATAATTAGTGAAAAATTTTGTCCAAGAAAAACTGCATCAATCAGTTGGATGAATATAGATTTTAGATAGATTTTATTTCATTTTCCAATTTCATATTTATAGCATTTTTTTTATTTAAATATATTAAAAAAATCGAAGAATTTGTAAACAAATGCACAACTCATGATATTTATTTATTTTCTCACAATAATTCACATTGAAGATATTTTTCGTTTAATTCTTAACATTTTTCATTTTTCATTTTTCATTTTTATTTTTCATGTTTCATATTTTATTTTTATTTATTTTTTAGATGCACGAAACCGACAAAAGATACGTTTCAATGGGAACACATTTGCCAACTAAAACATCTTCTTAAAAAATTTTCTTTTTGCCAGTACTTCGCTCTCTTGAGTAATAGAACACAGCCAACGTAGCCAGCCAGCTAAGTTGCAAGGAAGTGTGACGTTCGGGCTGTTGAGCCAAACAGCAGCAGCAGCAGCAGCACAGTACAGCACAGCACCGCACAGCGCAGCACATTCGGCATAGATATCAGATACATTCTCACATTCGTATGTGCGGATTGTGTTGCTATGAGTGAGTAGAGTCGATGTGCTGCCTGCTGTTGTTGCCCGAATGGCTGCATATTCACACCGCCAAGCCAGGCTCTTGTGGCACCGACATAGTAGTAGGCAGCGCATGGTGCGGTGATAAGCAGGTTTAATGTACGATGTGTAAAACAACATACATTTCGCCGGGTATTATGTGGTTGCAAAAAGCAAGAAAACAAAAAATAATAAAAATAAAATAGAATAGAATAGAATACGGCAGATACAAAATGTAGCTTTATTGTTCTGTCATGTAACAAGAGCATTAACAGCAGAGAAATGCACAATATTACATTAGTAACTATTCATGCTAGCATATTTATTTATACGCACAAATGAATTGTTATTAACTTTCTGTACATAAAAGTATGAATTTCACTTAATGAAAAGATGAGATTTCAATAAAAAACTGAAAACAGCACATCTCGTAACGAAGATAAAAGATGAAAGAGCACAAATTATGTTAGTTAAATTTTCATTTTAATTTAAAACATTTCAACACTTCTTATGTTTTTGCAATATTTTTCTCCATATAAAATATATGGATTTCATAAAATCTCTTCACCTATCATTTTTGTACGATTAAGTACCACTTGAAATATTCATCGTTCACACCACCTAAGTATCAACATTTCATGTATGGTACTACAGGCTAGCGAGATTGTGCGGAGCTCCTCTTTCTCAAGAGGAGTTCAAGATTATTTCTTCATCTAACATTTATCAAAGCAAACAAAACAACACAAAAAGAAAGAATCTAATATTTTTATTTTTTTCCCCCCACGAAAATATGAGTAAAGTATAGATCCAAACAAACAGTTGTAGTACTTTTAATCCGGTTAGAATTAATGGATCAGTATATTTTAATTATTGTACTGTTTTAATTATTACATAAAACAAAAATAGTAATATTCAAACCCTTCAGTTCCAGAACATGTCGACTCAATGGGTTGTTTGGTTTTGGCAACGGTAGAGATTTCTTTTGTTCTTTTGTTCAAATATTACCATATTACCATATAGCCAGATATAAGAATTATGAAGAAGTTTGTTTTTTGTAATCGCACTAACTTTTTTAATTGATATGATTAAAAGGAGATGAGAACTTTATTTTGCATGCCCACTAGACATGTTAGATTTCCACAGTGGAACGTTTTATGCTGGGTTTTTGAATAGGAAGTTCCCTATTGTCTACTTTTCGCAGTTATTTCTCATCGACGACCAAATGCCAGTCAACACTCTTCTTTGAGTGAAATATGATTTTATGAGTGGTAGAACTTAGTACAACGATACCAACAAAATATGTACATCTTATTGTAAATACCAGTAGTTTAATTCACCCAAGATCATGACAGCCGTGTCTCGCGATAACATTCTTTTTGTCAAGATTTGTATTTACTATTTCAGAAGTAATAGGGTCTCCATTAGTATGTTAGCATACAATGGGTGGTTGTACTTCTATTAATAAAATATATGACATGTTCTATTTACATTTTACTATTATGGGTTTTAGATTATGGCCACTGAATGTTAAAACGGTATCGATGATATTAGGTCTGTTCCATGAGCTACTCGTAGCTCGAAATACACGAAAATACATAAAAATTTGCTGTTTGAACATTTTAAAGGTAATTAAAATTTTTGTACTTGTGCTAGAAAATAAACAACATTCACGATAAAATCTTCAACCCAACTTTTTTCCGTTTTAGTAAATGGTAATACAATCAAAAATGTGTCTTCATCTGAAGATTCGTCGTCAGATGACAATGCATTTACAGCGAAATGTGCTTTATTTTAATCTTATTCTTTTTTTCAAAGGGAATAAAAGGACATATTTAATATAAACAAACAAATTGGGCACATGTGGAAACAAATTACACTTTTTTATCTTCCAAATCATATAAAACAGCTGTTCATTTTAGGATAATCTTGCTACTCAGGCAAAATGTCTAAAGTGTTATAAATTAATCTGGAGTGTTATACAGATTTATTAGTTGGAAAAGGAAAATTGCACAAAAAGAGATCATGGATTAAAAAAACGCCATAAGTAACTAATTTTTTGTTAAATTTTATTAAATTATATTTAAATGTCAACAAATGAAAAAAAAATCATATCAGTTCAAATCAAATTAGTTTATTCGGACTAAGAAGAAAAAAATGGAAGATGTTATGGAATGTGAAACTATAGTTTGAACATACATCAGTGATAGGCAAACTTATATTTGAAAAGTCCATATTTAACAGTTATTTCGACCCGATTCAGTCATTTTTCTTAAAGTGATATGTTGAATGAAGACTTTAATGTAAATTATGTGTATACCCGAAGCCTTCCTCAGCAGAAATGTTTCAAAGGATACAGTATTTCATATTCATATTCATGGCACGAGACAATGGAAGGATAAATGCGTAGATATGAGTGGGTTCTTATGATTGATATTAATATAATTGATTTATGTGACAGGAATGAAGAAATTATTTGGATGCTAACTGATTGTGCTCGTTATAAGAAGTATTTTTAATTTCGTATAAAGGAAATATACCATTTCATCAAAAAAGAACGAGAAGTTAAAAAAACACGCAAAAATTTGATATTACTTAGTTGATGATATTGGTGGAGTTTTTAGTCAACACTGCGACACAACTAACGCTGTGTGAGCCGATGCGTTATCGTGGTGTAAAATCCATGAGATTTCTTTCCATAAATCTTTTTGCGAATGGCCCCACGCAAACGACGCATAACGGCAAAATAATACTCCTTATTTACCGTTTGACAGTCAGCATAACCTTGATTTTGGACCGACTTTGTCGTTCTCTTTTCGGTTTTGGCTCACCTCCGAAGCACCATTCGGTCGATTGTTGTTCGGTGGACATGTCAAATTTATAGACCCATGTCTCATCACCTGTTATGATGCGTTCGATAAATGTGGGGTCATTATCTGCGTTGGAAATCATCTCTTTAGCCACATCATAACGACGCTTTTTTTGAATGAAATTCAGCTTTTCTTTGTATAGAAGCTAAACAAAAACTAATAGTATGATATGCGTAAAACTTTGACAGAATTCGTATACTAGTGTTGCCAGCGTGAAAATAAAAAATTGGATACCAATTGGATAAGCGCAGGAATTCAAAAAAAAAACGAATAAGTTCTTTTTTGATCACAAGGTACATATTACCTAAGATGACAATGACAGTTTTTCGAACCCAGCAATGTCAAATATTGACATGACTCGATATTATTCCGCCTAGTTTTTGAAAAGTAAGGCAGTATATTCTGCACCAGCATAGGATGTTCTAACTCACACTATTGTTCTTGCAAATTTTCAGGTAAACTATTATTAGATCTAGTTGCATTGTTATATTAAGAAACTTTTTGTTCAAAAGTTGGGTAATAACCAATGATGTTTTTTCTAATTATCGCAAACCCAAAATACGAACGTATTAAGCGTAGTGTAGGGCACTTCATTAAAAAGCATGGCGAAACTACAAAGATTAGAAGTTGGTAGCATAAAAGCCTAGGATTCTCTTCTAAATTGTTTACATAAAAGTAAATTTGAAGCTATCTGAGCACAATGCAAACTACAAAAGCCAAAGAATGGTTTGAGAAGATTTTTGAAAAGTGAAGATGTTATTCTTCTGAGTTCTTATGGATGTATTAAACTATGTCAAAAGTCAAATGCAAGTATATGGCAAGAGGAAGGGAAACCTACTTTGTTCAGAAAACAGTGGGAAAAAATCAATGTTTTTTTTTCTAAAAAAAACTTTGTACTACTTAAACGTGAATTTGTGATAAAACTAAGCAGCAAAGCAAATGAGTGAAATGCTTTTTGAGCTTTCCATATACAATTATGCAAAAGTTTGTTTAGTTTTTGCTTTGAAGCTTTTTATTTACATTAGAGAAGCTTTTCCTGATGCTGGTTAACAGTTGTGTGACTAACTGTACGGAAGGTGGAATTATAGGATGGGCTAGGACACCTTCATTATAAGTTATTGTGTAGTAAAGTGTTAAGAGACACTTGAGTAGACTTCTTTACCAAAATGTTAAAATTTTAATTGAATGAAAATACTTATAAGATTGTTTAAATAATGACGCAGAAATATACTATATACAACGAACTTAATGGGTTGTTCGAAGATGTGTTGCTTTCTATATATGCACAAATACTTATAAATATCTGAACACGGCATCGCATACAATATTTTTCGACCTAAATTAAATGATGAACCTCGTTAAATGTTTCGGCATCAATGGCATCAATGACTCAATATCAATATTCATACATATTTAATTTATTTAATATATCTTTTGTGTTCTGTTTGAATGAGTAAACTTATATATTCATATTCACACTCATTCTGTGTTTTGAGTTAATTGTGCCAATAATAACGCCAACTGGTACGAGGGTAGAGAGATTGTAATTTTCAAAGCAATTAATATGGGCGAATATAAATGCTACATTTCAGCTCAGAAAATTAGAGACATATAATTTATGGATTCAAATTAATTTTTATTTTCATAATTATATACATTATAAAATAGATTGTATTTGGAGGGAGAAGATTACAAAACATCTTTGTTAAGCGAGGCATTATGTTATAAGGTACTCTTTCCTAATGGATATAGGTAGCCTAAGACGGGATCGTAATTAATACAAAAAAACCATACACATATACAGTTATAAAATAAAATATAATTATATATATAAAGTTATTTGCATATAAAGACAAATATATTTAGATAAGTAAATACCTAGTACTATCTAAATAAATACATGCAGGTGATTTTATTTGTTAAAAATCGAAAAAATTATATAAGGACAGGAGAGAAAAAACAGAAAAAGAGAGATAAATGAATAGATAAATAGAAGTTGCGGAACGCAGATCTTAGAACAGTCATTGAATAATCATGAAGCTTATGAGGAATACACAAATTAGTCATTGAGATGGGCGGAACTCTGCAGAAACCCCCAGCTACCAAAGACTAAAAGTGTCCAGGTGCACTAACTCGGAAAAGGCTCAACATTAGATTAGATATAAAGAAAAACAGAATGAGATATAGATGAATTTATAGGGAGATAGCGACACAAATAAACGTACAACAAGAGAATAAAAGAGATAGGAACATAGATGCAGAGAAAGAAGAGAGAGATAGAAAAAGAGAGAGGAAAATAAACTGAGAAAGATAGAAAGAGATAGCGACATAAATACAGAGGAATAGAAGTTTTCTTTGATCGACTTTAAAAGCATTATGAAAATGAAAAAGAATTGTATCTAATTGTTAATATTCTATTTAAAAATAATATGCCCTTGCAAATAAAATTCAACAATTACTGGTCACACTAGTTTCGGTCAAAAATATTTTGATATACAGTAAATGTTACCATTGTCAAAGAATTGAAAAAGTGTCTTCATTTCGCTTCACAGCACTTTAAAACTGAAATACTGAAACGAAAGATTTTTTCTTACTCTGATTCCAGTATGTCTGGTCCTTCACCAAAAACACGATCTAAGTCTAAGAATTTAGTAGAACAATTTCTTTGGCATATATTCGAATTTATTGATTAAAATGTATCAAATTTTAAAATTGTTTAAACACTATTGAAAGAAATCTACTATTCCTATGAAATCTACTATAGGTTGACGTAATATATAAGTTCAAGTCTTTCACCAACCATAAAAATATGATTGAACAGAGAGTGCGTATACCATCCAATGGGAATATTGAAAAAATTACCGTAATAAGGAAGTCAAAAATTAATCAGCGCGAGGTATCAATAGTGCAGGTATAAAAAATTTTCATTCTTCCTACTACTATGACATAAATTAATACTGCGTGATTACTTATGGTCTTAAACCCCACTATCTTTATTTTTGTTTCAAAAGTTGTAAAATATTTTGGTTAAAAACATTGATTTCAATCCAAAAAGTAAGATGATATTTTGACATACTTATGTTTGTATATTAAGTTTTTATATAAACTAATTCATTCTTAACCGATTTCACTAGTAATTATAGTGATTATCATTGGACGAGTCTACCTTTTCAAATTAATATTACTGTAATCTGTTCTGTGCTCTCTATTCTAAGAACTTTAAAAATGTAAAATATAAGCTTCACAAAAAAAACTTGTATTTCTTTAGACTTTTTTGTCTTCGTAGAACTTGTTTGTTTATTTTACAGGTTGTTATATTTGTAAAAAAAGTAAAAGTCGTTATTTAAGAAAAAAAAGTCTTTTTAAGAAACACAAAAATTTGTTTATGTTCAAAAACCAATTTATTTAAATGGGCAATTTATAGTAAAAGACAAAATTTGGCACATAGATCAAGGCAAAAACGTCATTGCTGGTATATAACGTAGTGCTTTAGCGGTAGCACTATTTGGGTTTCCTAAATCTTTCACAATGCCTTGAATACGTGAAACCACATCACTACGTTGTATATCCTGACGATCAAGCATGCGCTTGAACATTGTATATAGTTGACGTTCCGCCGATACAAACGACAATTTATGCAACTCCTCCAGTAACTCATCAGAATAACCCTCGTATTTACTCAGATTGGCAGCCTTTGCATCACGCTTAAGTAAGTCATAAACAAGTAGAAATTCTACGTAGGGTTTTGTTGGTGGAACACGTTTTTTGCCAGCAGTAGATGTTGCTGACCAACGATCCACAGCAGTATCACTATCAAAAGCTGCCCGTCCGTAGTTGTCATCGTAAAGCCGTAAAAAGTTATCTAAGGATTCTACATCATTTGTAAATTCGTCATGCTCTGTTTCGGTTTGTATATCACGTATTAAACCTAAAGGCAACTTATCGAATGCTTCCGGATTGTCACCAATTTCATCGAATAAAGCATAACCCTCCAGTTTCGTCATTGGGGGCTTTAAGCGGGGAGAATTTGGTGGCGCAAAAACACCTGGTTTATGTGCAGGTGTTGGTGGTGCTGTCGGTTTGGCTGTTGTTGTAGTTGGATGCCACCAACTAGGTGGTTGCCACCAGCCTGATGTACTCGTTGTAGGTCGTTTTGTGGTTGTAGTTGTAGTGCTTGTAGTTAGATTGTCTTCTTTGACTTCTTCATCATTTGCGCTAAATGGTGGCTCAACGGTTGTCATAGAAAGCGGTTCGTATTGTAAGTAATCGATGTAATAGGCCAGAGCTTGCATAGACACTGGCAAGTAACTCGTCAATAGATTCGCAGAGTGTACTTTTTGTGTTATTAACAACACATAAAGAGCAACTAAGCAAGCGTAATGCAGCTTTTTAAAAGCGTACATTTTTGTTTAATTTTGGTCAAAATTGTTTTGAAATTCGTTTCGGAATTGTTTTCTTGCACATATTTTATAAACTCAAATAATAAATTTATTGTATTATTAAAGCGCGGTTTCACGATATTTCGAAGATTTTAAATTTATTGCAATAAATATTTTGTCTTCGCCGTTAACCTTTTGTGATTCAAAACCAATTTCCGACTAAACGTTAAAATGTGTTACTGTTCATCTTAGCTTCGGCTAAGAGAATTCAGAACTTCTTCAGAGTTTTGTTTTAAATTGTTTAAGTTTTGATTCAACTGAAACAAACAAAATTTGAATTTTCAAACTACATGCACCCTACAGTTTGCATTAGCGACATTAAGTAACAAAGGAAAATTGGAGTTGAAGTACTAATAATATGATTAATGATTAATAAATATTCTGTTGCAAAGAATTTATTTTCTTTAGATGAGTTTAAATTTAAAGACTCCACAGGCAGATATTGAGCATTTAGAAAAAATAAATGATTTGGCTTATCGGAATCAGGTTGGATGTATCATCTTGATTTTTCTGCAAAAAACTTTGGGATGTGTTTCCAAAAGCTGCTGGTTGCTATAGAAGCTGCTAGTTTCCAAAAGCAGGTAGAAGAGAAGTCTACATTAGATTTTTTAATATCAATCGTAAATCAGTGCTTCAAATTTAACGGGTTCAGCACTTGCATTCCAAAAACTTATATACAAACTGTTAAACCCGACAATAAATAAACATTTTTGATGATCTCGATCAGCTTAACACCCGTAGAATAAGCTAAAAATCCAATAATATATATAAAAATTTTAAAATTAGTTACTTATTGTCAAATATACACCGTATGAGAAAGTGCTGGGTTCACGGGAGAAAAAAATTTTTTTTATGATCTCTGCACTTAATTACGCATCACATTATGCGATAAATCATAGAAGAATTGAGTATGAATCACTTTATATTTCCCTTTATTTGTCAAATACTTAAAAAAGGTTACAAGGAATAAACAGAATAATTAAAGTCAAGTTATTCTATTCTATTACAGTGCAATTTCATTCTAGTAAGGTAACCTTAGGTTGTTATGATGATATAGGTATACCAAAGAGTTTAAAACCATTTTGAACTTTTATGAATAGACAAGAATAGATAAGATATTTTTTAATTTTCGATCGTCTAAAATAAATTTCTGTGATGTGTAATTTACATTACATATGAGTTCGAAAATTATAGAATAGATATTAAGCACATTTTTCAGCTTCTTCACGGCTGCAGAGAGTCATGAAAACAAGTCTTAAATTACAATAATTTGTTAGAAAATCCAATTAAGACTAATATCCAATGCATTGTCTTAGAGATCGCTAGACTTACTATTTAAGAGGGGGCAGTCTTTGTATTGTTGATATATTGTTGATCCTTTCCGTCTTGTATTTAACTGTTATACACAGAAAGATAGTAACAACTGCTTGAATGGTATTAGAGGTATGAAAACATTTTTTATGAACAGAAACTTTGAAATCAGTAAATAAATTATTATCTCCAAAAAAGTTGGAAAGCTCAGAAAGTTCAAATCATGTTAATAAGACAAGGAGTTAAGGAACTTTGAAATTAGTAAATAAATTATTATCTCCAAAAAAAGTTGGAAAGCTCTGAAAGTTCAACTAATGTTAATAATAAGTTAAGCAACTTTAAAATTAATAAATAAATTATTATCTTCAGAATAAGTTGAAAAGCTCAAGGAGTTAAGAAATTTAAAGAATTACTTAGCAAAAAATATATATTAAAAATATTTCTATTCATATTTTTAAAAAAAAAAAAAAAGTGTTCTACCAATTTGAATAAAGGTCTTGGAATTTCGTTAAAGGTAAAATTTTAGTATTAATAAAAAGTTAAAAGTGGGAATAGTTAAACGAAAAAGGATACAGGACCTTAAATCACAGATTAAGATTTTAATACCCTCTTTATAACTTTAAACCTGTTGTAATTGAAATCAAAGAATTATTTTTAAAGAATGGCGTTTAGCCCTTAAATTCGGTCAGCTTCTTTGCATAGCCTTTTCGGTAAATGAAAAAATCCATTAACTCGAAAAATTCATTAAATCGAATAAATATATTAAATAAAGGAAGATAGTTTTTTTAGTCCAGTTATTATTTGAAAATTATTTTTTTTAAAAAACTTAAATACTTTTGTTTCTTAATGTTTCTCTATTTGGAGAGTCGTTCCTTTCCGCGTTTTTCGCATGCTGATCTCTAGTCTGCGTACAAACAACGCTCATCCGTGGTATCACAACGAGCTATTATTGTAGCTCAAGTGGGCTTTGGGTACAAGAGTGCTATTTGAATCTAATCTAACATTCTGTATTGATTTTTCATATGCTTTTTCTTGTAAGTCTTGAGAAACCATATATGGATTATAAAGTATATAATTTTCCTTAGGCCCTTGTAAAGTATAAGACCTTAAAATGCTTCACAAAATTATATTTATGTGACTTTTAAGTTGTATTTCAGCAACAGTTTTTTTTTTATATTCGTTATTTTTTCCTGAACTATTTGTTAAGTAATTAAATATTCTATAATAATTTCGTGGTTTTTAAATTGGATATCCATTACAATGTATATTCTTTATGACTATTAATTATATTTTCATATATTCTATCTCCTTTTACATTTTTGTTTAGAAAATCTTATATTAACTAAGAAGGTATATTAAAGTATATTTGTCATTTATATATATATCTCAATTAATACATTAGCATTCTTATATTTTCTTAAGTGTGAGATAATATTTAACAACAGGAGAAATTCTTAGAAAATTCGATAAAATGAAATCATGATTATATGGTATATTAGTTTAATTATGAAGGTCAAAATAAAAATTTAAATATGTAGTTTTACTTACATTTTGACAGTTCAGTCCACTATAAGAAGGATATTAGATGTATACATTTGAAAAGTGTTAGTCACAGTTTATTGGTTAGTGAAATATAAAATAGGTATGGTGTTTAAAAATTGTGTACAATTTTCAGTTCTCACGAACTGATGTACTTAGTTTTGATATGTGCCTTTGAAAGGTAGTCACACAGCCTTTTCATTTTGCAGATAAAAACGTACAAAAACGCAAACAAAAGGTTAATACTCTCTTCTACCTAAATGTATCTGTCCAAAAATACAGAACACACCAAGCAGTTAAAAAAAATTACACACAAAAAAAAACAAAAAAAATAAAATAAAAGATACTAACTGAATATTCATAAGCTACCTGTACAGCGAAAAGAGAAAAAATCAAGAGTGACAGTAAAAGCACACATCAAACTATATGAAACCAGTATCACTAAAATATAAATAAGATATTTTGATTCGAGATAAACTTAAATATTTTAAAATAAAAGTAATATAAATATATTTAGTAGATAAGAGTACAAATTACATCTACGAAATACGTAAGGCGATGAAACCGGCTGATCAACATGGAGAATTTATTATATCAAAACAAAATCAAATTCTAATTAACATAATTGCCGATTATAGCGAAATTATATAGGCTTTACGGTTTTTACTCATATATGAACCTAAGTATCTATGCGATAATCTATGTTGGACATAAATTTCGAATTCTATCCAGAATAAGTCACACAGTAACCCGTGCGTGCTGGCCACCGACAAACACACAGAGTGTGTGCGTGAGCTAACGCAACTTTTCACTTTTATTTTATGGCTCATGGGCAAGAAGTAGCCAAGCCACGCTGGCCGCACAGAGGCAATGGCGTGCTGGATTTGATTGTTGATTATATCGAAGCACTAAAATACTCGCAATAGAATGGCACACAGCATGTCGCAGCATAACTTTTTGCATAGTCACAAAAATATGGGTCAGTAGACGAGTGAGAACACCGACTGAGAACGCGACTGAACATATTAAAAATGCCCTGAGGTAGCAGATACTCGACTCGCATAGAATAGATAGTAAAGCGACGACAAGAATGTAAAAGCTGAGTCTGAGTTCGTGATAACTTTCGCTGAAAATGGCATCTTAGATTCTTCAGCACCAATCTTGGTTATCAGCTGTGTTTTTTGCTTTTATGACAAAAACTGTATATTGCCAAAATTTGAAAACTTGTTTCCTTAACTGGTTTTAAGGTTTGTTTTGTTTTTGCGTTGAAGATATACGAGTATGCAATCGCAAATACAAATTGTTCCGGGCCTGTTCTGGCTTGCATAAGTTAATTCTTAATTACATCCACTCGCATTCGGTTATTGACCCAATGCAGTTCTGGTCATTTCTTTGCTTTATTTATCTTATGATAAGGAAATGCCAAGAGAAGTGTTTTATCCAATATTAGAGATTTCATTGTATTTTTATTTATTTTTTTTTTTTGTTAAAGAGTTTAAATGGAATTTATTTAATATCTGACTTTGTAATTCTTATACAGTAATGAATCATAATAGTACCCTCATACAATCAGTTTCACAAGAATTTTTATATTCATATTTCGTTTCCGATATTATAATGATTTTAATATTAATTGTAAATATTTGAATAACATCAAAATTAATTTATATTATTATTTTTTTGTTAAAATAGTTGAAGATTAAAATTATTGTATTAAAAGGAAGTCAATTTTCAATACATATTAAGAAGAGTCTCGAAGATAATTCTATTAGAATAAAATATTCATTTAAAAATTTCTCAATTTTTCAAAAACTATTTATTTAAATTGTTTATATCGTTTTTTAGTTTCTAGTCTATTAAACATTTCCTAATTTTATAATGACTATGTTTATAATTAAATTGAAAGTCAAAATTAAATTTAGCTAATTTAGATTATATTTACAGAATAAAAAAGTGATTGCTATTCTACCCTAACTGCTGTATTACTCACTGTAGACTGGAGTGTTTGCTTACTATATACATACTTACTATACACCAGATTTTTACTCTCTTAAAGTGGAATAAATTTAAGTCTTCATTTCTCTGAACTTCAACGGGTTTCCTTTTTTTTTTTGTTTTTTGGTTTGTTGCTTTGACACTCTTTTTGAATAAAATGATTAAAACCTTCATGAAAGAGTATCGACTAACGGGAATTCTAACCGTATTTCTTCTAAAAACTTCATCAATTAGGCCCGATGCATGGGAAATTTAAAAGTCTTGGTTATTTTTGTTTGTTTGTTGTTTTGACAATCGTTTTGAATATATTCAAAAAAACTTTATGAACGATACCC